CCATGTGTAGAGTCTTCTCTTGTGTTGTTGGAAGAGGGTGTTTGCTATGACCAGTGCATTCTCTTGGCAAACTCTATTAGCCTTTGCCCTGCTTCATTCTGTACTCCAACGCCAAATCTGCCTGTTACTCCTGGTGTTTCTTGACTTCCTACTTTTGCATTCCAGTCCCCTATAACAAAAAGGACATCTTTTTTGGGTGTTTAGTCTGAAAGGTCTTGTAGGTCTTCGTAGAACCGTTCAACTTCAGCTTCTTCAGCATTACTGGATGGGGCATAGGCTTGGATTACCGTGATAATGAATGGTTTTTCTTGGAAATGAACAGAGATCATTCTGTCGTTTTTGAGATTGCATCCAAGTACTGTATTTCAGACTTTTTTGTTGGCCATGATGGCTACTCCATTTCTTCTAAGGGATTCCTGCCCACAGTAGTAGATATAATGATCACGTGAGTTAAATTCACCCATTCCAGTCCATTTTAGTTCGCTGATTCCTAGAATGTCAACATTCACTCTTGCCATCTCCTGTTTGACCACGTCCAATTTGCCTTGATTCATGGACCTAACATTCCAGGTTTCTATGCAATATTGCTCTTTACAGCATCGGACATTGCTTCTACCACCAGTCACATCCACAACTGGGTATTGTTTTTGCTTTGGCTCCATCCCTTCATTCTTTCTGGAGTTACTTCTCCACTGATCTCCAGTAGCATACTGGACACCTACCAACCTGGGGAGTTCCTCTTTCAGTATCCTATCATTTTGCCTTCTCATACGGTCCATGGGGTTCTCAAGGCAAGAATACTGAAGTGGTTTGCCATTCCCTTCTCCAGTGGACCACATTCTGTCAGACCTCTCCACCATGACCCGACCGTCTTGGGTGGCCCCACATGGCATGGCTTACTTTCATTGAGTTAGACACGACTGTGGTCCTGTGATCAGATTGGCTAGTTTTCTGTGATTATGGTTTTAGTGTGTCTGCCCTCTGATGCCCTCTTGCAACACCTACCATCTTACTTGGGTTTCTCTTACCTTGGATGTGGGGTATCTCTTCACGCCTGCTCTGGAATCTAAATGATTTGTATTGTTTAAAACTATTTTTAAGGGTTTTTCCCTAATTATTCTCTTATTATCAAATACTGCTTTCAGAATGAAAAAAATTAAATATCAACATTCCCTCGCTAAAATGATTCCTTTGGTTCCATCTATCTATCTATATATAATTACTCTCATCTCAATCATCTCAATCTTAAGGTTTCTCTCATCCCACACCATCAACCTACCACACATTTAGTTCGTTCCCATAACAATCCCTTTAGTTTTCCCACTTTACATATGAGATAACTGAGGATTACAGTGGTTAAATCACTTTGTGCCAAAGGTTACACTAAATATATATGACTGATTAACTGTCAGATTTAAAAGCAGGTATCCTGACTCAATACCTTGGTTTTTTGGCCACTGTACTCCACAATGCCTTCCTTGATTCTGCAATTAAGACCTTTTATATTTTATTACACTAATATCTCCTTTAGACAAACTTTCCATGAAACACCTCCACTTTCAGTTCAGTTCAGTTCAGTTGCTAAGTCGTGTCTGACTCTTTGGCAAAGTAATGTCTCTGCTCTTTAATATGCTATCTAGGTTGGTCATAACTTTCCTTCCAAGGAGTAAGCGTCTTTTAATTTCATGGCTACAGTCACCATCCGCAGTGATTTTGGAGCCCCCAAAAATAAAGTCTGACACTGTCTCTACTGTCTCCCCATCTATTTCCCATGAGGTGATGGGACCAGATGCCATGATCTTAGTTTTCTGAATGTTAAGCTTTAAGCCAACTTTTAGTTTGCCTCAAATTCTCATCCCTTTCTACTTTTGCAAATGCTGTTTCCCATCCTCATCCTACTTTCTTCATGATCCAAAGTTCAATCATTTTTTAAGCCTCTTATCCTTGCTTTCTCTATAAAGCTGGCAGCTCTTCCTTCTCCACTATAAAAGTTCCTTGCTCTCATGTCTATTATAGAGCTTTTATATATTATCATTAGTTTCCAGATCTGTTTGCCCCATTTTTCTCTGTATTCTTCCCAAGAAAGAACCATGCCTAAATTTTGAGTTATTTCACAGCTAGCCAGCATCTGTGACATTACTGAATAGTCAAGACATGTCTGCTAAAAAGGAATGAATGAAAATTATAGAGAATAAAGTTCATACTTAGTTAAAAATGGTTTTGCACACTTTGAATAATATTCTTGTGATCTAAAGAACAGTAGCATGAGAAAGATAATAAATATAGAACATACAGGAAATCCGTTCTGATAAGAAAATTCATAAATGTAATGCTGACATTCTAATTTTGCTTTATCAATAACACTAGAATGCCTTAATATACTATATATGTATAAATTTTGTTAATATCAAGTAAAATACAGCACATAATCAGTGGAAATGTATCAGTGGAAAATTATATTTTTTGTATCAGTTACAAGCAATTTTTACAGTTTGAGTGACTGAGACAATGGAAGAGATGGAGGAGATGGAAGGGGAATAGGTGTTAGAGGGAGAAAAGATAGATGTGTGTGAAAATGATGATTTCTACTTCTGGACTGTATGGAAAAAATACAAATCTTTAATCCTAAAGGAATAAGCAAGTTATTAGCCATGGTAGTTGAATCTATTGGGCTAATAAAAAAATCCATACTCATCTTCAGAACATATGCAACTTCAGAACATCAGGGACTCCTGCTTTCCAAAGCTTTGAAAGACAATTATGTATTTTAAAAAATTATTTATTTATTAACATTAATTGTTTAGATTCCATCTATTCATACAAGAAGGTAAACTTCATATAAAGTTATGATTATCTTTTTTATTGGAATATAATTGCTTTACAATGTTGTGTCACTTTCTGCTGTACAGTGAAGTAAATCAGCTATATGTACACATATACTCCCTCCCTCATAAATCTGTTTCCCACTTTCCCCCAATCTGACCTCTTTAGGTCATCACAGAGCACTGAGCTAAGCTCTCTGTGCTATACAGCAACTTCCCAATAGCTGTATATTTTACACAGCTGTGTATACCTCAATCCTACTCTACCAATTTGTCTCACCCTCCCCATCCCACCCCATGTCCATTTTCTACATCTGCATCTCTATTTCTGTCTTGCAAACAGGCTCATCTGTACCATCTTTCTATTAACAGATTCCACAGAGATGCATTAATATACGATATTTGTTTTTCTCTTTCTGACTTAGTCCTTCCTATGACAGTCTAGGTCCATCCACATGACTACAAATGACTCAGTTGTGGATCTTAGTTCCTCAACCAGGGATTGAACCTGTGCCCCATTCAGTGGAAGCTCAGAGCTCTAACCACTGCAAGGGAATTCCTGACAATTATAAGAACTACTTTTTGAAGGAAATGAATATTTTGGAAGACCGTTCAAAACGTATCTACTCTGTATTATCTAGACTTTGTTGATAGATAAAACTGGACAACAGGACGCCTCTATACTCTATCTAGTCCTTTAAAGCAGAAGTCAACAAATTTTTTCAGCAAAGTAGATATTTTCAGCATTTCAGGCCATATGGTGCTTATCCAACTCTACCACTGTAGTACAAAAAAAGCCATAGACATTATGTAAACAAATGACATGGCTATGCTGCCAGTAAAACTTTATTTACAAAACAGAAAACTGAATTTTCCCCATAGGCAACAGTCTGATGACTCCAGCTCTAAAGGATAAAGTTAAAGAGTTAGGCTCTGATAACTTCCTTCTAAAAGAAATCACTCTATGATGCAGTTATAAATTTATTATTGCATTTACCACAGGAGTGTTGGTGAGAACACTGCATATCCCATTACTGAAAGGAAGATCCAAAACTGAAAGTTGTTTTAGTTTTATATGGCAAGAAATAATTTCTTCCTATGGGAAATGTATCTTCTTTATCTTTAGAGGACTGCAAATCATGTAACTGATGTCAGCAAAAAGATAAGAAAAACTGTACACCAACTTTTTTAAGTGGTTTCAAGCCAAATTATCTGCATATTACCTAGCAATTCTTTCTAGGTCTGGATCTTTATTTTGGCTATCTTTCCCTGATCTAAATTTTAGCTCTCTTCACTTTCCATTTGATTGCACTTAGAACCAAAAAAGGGAATTTAAAAAATTAAAAATTAAAGCAACTAACCTGGGACTTCATCTTTTTCTGCTCTCCTCTAAAATGGCAGATGCTTGAAAAGGCAAAATTGGTGATCAGAAGGGTATTTTCACAGATGGGCTGCAAAATGCAGTTTCTATATTCACCAGTCTAGAAACAACAACCACAGAAGTTAGGTAGATGATAAGCAAACCTGTGGGAGAAGATGGTTTGGTCTTCATAGAAAAATCAGCAAGTATAATGTAAAGTAAGCTCTCTTGTAACTACATACTTTGATCATACAGAACTTGAACAAGGTTTTTTAATTGTATGGATGTGAAGATATGTTTCTTTTTGATTTATTAACAACTTATCTGCCCCCCCCACCCCCCCGCCACCATTAACTAGCAATTCCATTCGCAGGAGTTCATAAGGCAACACACACACACACCAAGATAAACACACACACACACACCCCAAGATAAGTTCCCCAGCAATGACCAAATCAAAAACTGAGAAATTTTTCCCTTATTCCTCAGAAAGGAATAAGCAGCTAACATCTAATCTCCCAAGAGCTCTTATATTTTCCTTGCAACTCAGCAGATACTCCTGCCAATCAATATGTTTAAACTTTTATTGTTGATTTTCAACAGTATGGATGTCTGCATATAAAAATGGTAGTAAGCTGGGACCACTGATACAAGGGAATATACCCTAATACAGGAAGGTACATACCTGGTAAATCCTTCTCAGTCCCACAAGGAGTTAGGTAGACAAGATTTAACTGGTTCAGAGAAACTGAGTACTCCTGCCACAGGGATACTGTTTCATATGGGGTATTCTAAGCTTTGTCAAAATAGATCTGTAAGGAAACAATTGGGAGAAATAGTCATACTTACCTCCAGGCACCCAGCAGGTGTTCAATAAATGTTTCCTGAATAAAATATAAAATGATTTCAATAAATTTAGATAGAGGTAAGACAAAAATAATAATTTTCATAATAATCCTATCCTTTCTGACTTGTTTGTTACTGTTTCATAATGATCATTTTTGTTAGGGGTACCAGGTTAAGGGCATAGTGACGGGTTGAGAAGGGATGTGACCTGAAAAGTTGCCTATGACCTGTGGAAATTTTAATGTATGTAAACGAAAACTAGGCTATCATCCAAGACACTCTGGTCATTACTTCTCCCTCCAAATCTCTGAATCCTGGGGCCTAGCAATCACATACTCCACAGAACTCCCCCATGCCCACCACATCACTGCCACATGGATGCCCTCATCTTCTAGTCCACAGCCTCCCTCATCAATCACTGAGTCTTTAGAGTCCCCTAGATCCCTGACCCTGTCAACACCAGTCAGTCCCCCTACACACCATTTCTGATCCCACAGATAATCCCATAACTGACACACCGTTATCCAATTACTAATCTTACAGCTAACCCCATCCCTGACGCCCAAATAAACCCAACCCTAATCCTACATACACCTTCCCTAGTGATTTTGTCAGTCTCCAATCACTGACGCTCACGGACCCCTCTCATCCCATTACCAATCCAAAAGACACTCATCACTACACATGTCCGCCTTCTGACCTGCAGTTCCAGAAACGCCCATCACGGCTCAATCCAAGACAGCTGTCACATCCATAGTGGTGAATTCTCCCGCTTCCTGTCTGGGTGAGCAAAGCGCGGGGCTCCCCGGCGTGCACTGTTCCGTACAGCGGAGTTTTACCCACTCTGCACCCTGGGCGGCTTTGTTCAGGAGGCAATATGGCCACTCCCGTGCTATGTGGCTCAGTGGGAGCCGCCATCTTGTTAGATTGGTCAGTTCCGTACAAGCAGAGGAATTCAGTTTACTCAGAGCTTTTGTCTGGGCTGTACCACAGAGGCAGCAAGGGGAGGGGGGAAAGATAACATAAAAGAGGATTATACAAACCTGTAACGTACAAAATTTTGCAGAGAGACTTTACAGGATTGGGTAAGAAGTGTGAGTGATAATGTCCTCCATTAGAAGGCTGCATTTGGTAAAAGATGAAAAACTTGGAATAGTAAAATATTCTCACTAACGACTTCACTTAAAAGTGTTTGTAAATGGCTCAACCCTATACCAGGAGATTCTACTTGCTGAGAGGGGTGAAAATGTGGAATGGAAAGTCCACTGTGGGGGAAACCCGCCAAAGTGGTGGAAGAGTTCACCGAGGAGCAAGGAAAGAGGATACACATTAATAATGAAATTTACGTTAAGAACGATTATAAGGAATTCTCTAGGGTACACTACTACTGCAGTAACAAGTTGCAGAGACCCAGTGAAGAAAATAAAAGTGAGAGAAGTTGAAGGGAAAGGAGGCCTGTCATAATGAAAGAAATAAAAAAGCCGCAGTGAGATATTATTTCTCTTCTATTACCTTGTTTTTTTAAAAAACAGTATTCTAAGTTTGGAAATACAGAATGTTAGTAAGAATGCCATGGGAACTTGGAATTCTCATATATTACTGATGGGACAGAAAAATGACATAGCCCTATATAGAGCTGAGCTTCCCTTGTGGCTCAGCTGGTAAAGAATCGGCTTGCAATGCTGGAGACCTAGGTTGGGAGGATCCCCTGGAGAAGGACAAGGCTAACCACTCCAGTATTCTGGTCTGGAGAATTCCATGGTCTGTATATTCTATGGGGTGGCAAAGAGTCGGACACAACTGAGGAGTTTCACTTTCACTATATGGAAGACTTGGCAATAGGGGCTTCCCAGGTAGCAGCAGTGGTAAACAATCTGCCTGACAATGTAGGAGACCCCAGAGATGCAGGTTTGATTCCTAGGTCAGAAAGATTCCCTAGTGTAGTAAATGGCAACCCAGTCCAATATTCTTGCCTGGAAAATTCCATAGACAGAGGAGTCTGGCGGGCTACAGACCATGAGGTAGCAAAGAGTCAGACTTGACTCATAACTGTATGTATTTGTTACCTATTGCTGTGTAACAAGTTACTAGAAAGTAGCAGTTTGGAACTATAAATGTTGTAGTTAACTGTTTCATTGCTTCTGTGAGTTGAGAATGTAGGAACAGCTGAGCTGGGTGGTTCAGATCTAGTCTGTCAAGAGGTTGTTGCACTCAAGCTGTTGTTAGCCAGGATTGTAGTTATTTCAAGGCTAAATAACTGTAGTTATTTAAACTAAATTTCAAGGTTATGCTTCTAAACTCAATGAAGAAGCTGGTGATAAGCCTCAGAATTTCAATTTCCAGGCTCAACTGCCCATTATGAGGGCATTTCCTTCAGCTACTCAATTATCCTCATGACATGGTGGGTCTTCCCTCTCAGGCCTGCCTCACAGTATATAAGCTGGCTTCTATGCAGACCAAATGAGTCAAGGGAAAGACAGTGAGACAGCACACACAAGACAGATGCCATAGTCTTCTTATAACCTATATTAGAAATGACATCTCATTACTTCTGTATTCTGTGTGCTGAAAGTGAATCATTAAGGGTGCCCGCAAACAAAGGAGTGGGAATTAAGCTCTACCTCTTAAGAGGATTAGCAAAGTCTAAAACCACAACACTACATGTAAGCTTTTGCGCCTGAGCTCAGAAACTCCATTCCAGGAATATATCCCAAACATTTGCCAACAGGTCCAGCTGTATAAATTGCAGTATACACATAATACAGTACTATTCAGCAGTAAGAGAGAGACAGAAATATCTCTATGTACTACTGTGGAGGTAAGGAGGATATAATGTTCTATGAGGGGAAAAGGTAGAAAAAATGAGAATAGTTTGTTATTATCATTTAGTTTCTAAAATGTGAATATGTATATAGTTAATTCTTCTTATTCATGGTAGCTATGTTCAATTAAGTTGCTGCAAACACAGAACTAGTGAATACCGAACCATATCTCCATAGGGAAATAAATCAATATAAAACAGATTACAATCTTAAATTACAAGTTTGTATAATTAAGATTATAACCTTAAAAACAACTCATGTTGGTGGATTCTATTGTCTTTATTTTACCAGAAAAGCAAAGTTCAAAGGAATTAAGTAATTTGCCTGAGGTCCAATAACAAAGGCCAGAGTTATATTCAAACCCTGTCTGGCTGGCCCCAGAGCTGGAGTTTCTTGCACCACATTGCATTGCCCCTACCATCCTCATTATCTGTTCACCTCTGTGTAAGAGATGGAACAAGAATGCAGAGCATTCCCTTGTTTAAACTCAGCCGGGAATGTGTGCATGGGGAAACTCAAATTTTTGGTACTCTGGGCATGTCTGCCTATGACTGAAAAACCACTGAGTTTGATTTTTGAGGTTACAAATACATTTTAGCCAGTAGGTGAATTTATAGATACAGAATCTGTGAATAATGAAGATCAACTGTATATGTGTTTACCTTAAAAAGAAAAAGCAAATAATGGAAAAATAAGTCACCAAATAAAATATAATCTACAAAAGGTATTATTAGTTATCTTTTGAAATATAGCAACTTACCCCCAAACTTAGTGGTTTTAAACAACACACATCTATTGTTTCACAGTTTCTGTGGGTCAGGAATCTGGACATGGATTATCTGAATCCTCTGCTTTGAGGTGTTCTACAAATCTATAATCAAGGTATTGATCCAGGCTGGGGTCTCTCATCTGAAGACTCAAATGGGGTAAGATTCATTTCCAAGCTCAATTATATGATTGTTGGTAGAATTTAATGCCTCAAAGATTGCTGGACTAAGGGCATTCATGTCCTTGCTGATTGTTGCAAGGAAGCCACCCTCAATATCTTGCCATGTAGGACTCTCCAACTTGCAACTTGCTTATCTAGGGAGTCAAGAGAGGAGTCTGTAAGCAAGATGGAAGTCACAGTCTTTTATAACCTTATTACATACATGACATCCCCTCAGTGTTGCCACATGCCATTGGTTAGAAGCTGCTTACTTATGCAGAGTATTTTATCAGGAGGTGGGACTCATTGGTGGCTATCTTAGATACTTCCTACCCTGGGGAGGAAAGAAATAAGATAGAAGGGACACAGATCACATCTTATATTCTTTGAATATACCATAGTTCTGTTGACTTGACTATGTAACCACAAAATATTTTACATATTTATAAAACAAAATTAAATTTGATAAACCAATTCCAAATTTCTGCTTCTGAACAAAGTTGAAGTAATAGGGAATGGATGGGGAAACCAGACAAGAAACAATGATTTGAAAGGTATTAGACATCAGGCTGTGAAGGGCAGTGATCCTTGAGAGTTGGGAAACAAATTGAGGTGACCCTTCTGATTGTCCAGTTTACTGCCTTGAGAACATTTCCAGGTATGACATGAAAAGCGAGTCCAGGCAGGGGCCAAGAGACTTCCAGAGAGGTAGAGAAAGAACTAACAGTACAGAGAGACCAAGGCAGCTATAGTTACAGAGTAGAGATCAAAGAGGAGGAAGCTGCATATAATGAGAGCTCCAGAGGCTTGCAGAGGGTCCACTTCAAGTATTCAGGAGAGTACTGGTCAGTGCATGTATATAAGGAAAATTAGCGTCTGGGAAAAGAGACTCTGGAGAGGAAGGAGGAAACAGTAACTGGAGTTCAAGATTAAGCCAAGATTAATGCCTGTTCCCATCAGCCAGACTGGAAATTTTCACAATTCACTGGGAAGAATACACAGAAAAGTATGGCCTCAACAGTGGGAAATCATTAGTTCTACCTTTAATTCTTACTCTGATGCCAGTTAACAACTGTTTCCAAGTTACTTAGCTGAAATACAGGAAAAGCATCAAAATAGGTACTGGGACACTAAAGTATCTATCATCCAACACGATAAAATTTACAATGTCTGCCACCAAATCAAAAATTATCAGGCATGTATAAAAACTGGAAAATGATACTCATAATGAAGAGAAAAATAAACCAAAGGAAAAACAAAACAGTTTAGAATTTAAAAAGATGGTGGAAATTGTAGAACTATATATTAAGTTACTATAGGTCTTACACTCATTAAAACAATAATGTGAGAATATTATGACCTTCAGCCTCATAAATTTGGCAAGGTAGAAGAAATGGGCCATTTCTTCAAACACCAAAACTCAACTAAGATTAAACGGATCATTTGCATGGTTCCATAACTAGAATTCTACCAAAATTTCAGTATTCCAAACCATTTTATCAGGAAATTGTTGCCAAAATCATACCAAGGCAGTACAATTAAAAAAAACAAAAACTACAGACCAATGTCTCCCATGAACTTAAAACATAAGAATACTAAATAAAATATTAACAAACCAAATCCAGTAAAATAGCAAAAGAATTATACACTATGACCAAGTATAATGTATTTCAAGTATTCACAGCTAGCTAAAAATTGAAAATTAACCAACAAGATACAAAGAAAATGATTATGTCAATTGACAGAGAACAGGCATTTGCTAAAAATCTAGTACACAGGCATGATTAAAAACCACAAAACAAAAAACCTCTCAGCAAAATAGTAACAGACAAGAATTTTCATAACTTAATAAAGAGCATCTACCAAAAAACCCCACAGAAAATATAATACTTAATGATGAAAGACTAAATGATTCCACTCTTAGACCAGGAACAAGAGAAGGATGTTTGCTATCACCATTTTACTTCAACATAGTAGTGGAAATTCTACCCACTAAAATAACACAAGAAAGCAAAATTAGAAGTGTACAGATCAGAAAGTAAAGAAATTAAACTGTCCCTACATACAGATGACATAAATGATTGCTTATGCAGGCAATCCAAAGGAATCTACCAGTGTTATGCCTAAAACTAGTAAGTGAGTTCAGCAAAGGAACAGGACACATGATACAAAAGTCAATCACATTTCTACATACTAATAATAAAAATATTAAAACAGAAAGGAAAACATTAGTACCATTTTTAATCACTCCAAAGAAATAGAAACACTTAAGACTTACACTTATCAAACATGTAGAATCTTTGGGAATAAAATCATAAAATGTCATTAAAAGAAATAAAATAAATAGACATACCATGGTCACTGATTTGAAGACTGTAGATAGTAAAGATATTAATTATCCCCAAATTGATCTACAGATTTAAAGCAATTTGTCTTAAAAATGACAGCAAGTTATTTTTTGTAGACTTAGACAAAACTATTTATATGGAATTCCTTAAAGAACTAAAAACAGTGCTCACTTTGGCAGCACATATACTAAAATTAGAACTAAAAACAGAGTTACCATATGATCCAGCAATCCCACTCCTGGGCATACAGCCAAAAAAGATGAAAACTCTAATTTGAAAAGATATATGGACCCTAATGCTCAGAGCAGCACTATTTACAATAGCCAATTCTCGGAAGCAACCTAAATGTCTGTCAACGGATGAATAGATAAAGAATATATGGCATGTATGTGTGTGTGTGTGCATAAAATGAATTGGAATATTGCTCATCCATAAAAAAGAATGAAATAATGCCACTTGCAGCAACAAGGATGGACCTGGAGATTATCAACTAAGTGAAGTCAGTCAGGGACAAATATCATAGGATATCACTTTTATGTGGAATCTATAAAAAGATACAAATAAACTTATTTACAGAACAGAAAAAGACTCACAGACATAGAAAACAAACTTACAGTTACCAAGAGGAAAGAGAGGAAGGAATAAATTAATAAGAGTTTAGTATTAACAGATAGACATGACTATATATTAAACAGATAAACAAGGACCTACTGGGAACTAGGGAACAAGATTGTCACAGGGAACTAGATTCAATATCATGTCATAACCTATAATGGAAAAGAATCTGAAAAAGAATATATATACACATAAATTAATCACTTTGCTGTACAACTGAAACTAACACAACACACAACACTCAACCACACTTCAATAAAAAGTTGGTTTTGGGGGGGAAAAAAAAACTTACATGGACAGGAACAGGCCCTATTATAGCTAAAATAATCTTGAAAAGAATAAAGTGGAAGGAATTAGTCCCACAACTTCTATTAAACATTGTGTTGGAGGTTCTAGTTGGCACAATAAGGCAAAAAATATATTAAAACTATTTAGTTTGGAAAGGAAAGAGTAAAACCACATTCATTTGTAGATACCATGATCTTCCATGTGGAAAATCTAATGCATTCTACAAAGAAAATGGTACTAGAACTAATCAGTAAACTTAGAAAGGTTGAAGTATATTAGATCAATATGCAATAATTAGTTGTACTTCCATATATAATCAATAAATAATCAGAAATCCTGGGGGGGAGGAGAGGGTGAGATGTATGGGGAGAGTAACATGGAAACTTATATTACCATATGTAAAATAGACAGCCAGTAGGAATCTGCTGTATGTCTCAGGGAACTCAAACAGGGGCTCTGTGTCAACCTAGAGGGGTGGGATGGGGAGGGAGGTGGGAGGGAGGCTCAAGAAGGAGGGGACATATGTATACCTACAGCTGATTCATGCTGAGGTTTGACAGAAAACAACAAAATTCTGTAAAGCAATTATCCTTCAATTAAAAAATAAACAAATTTTTTTTAAATGAGATAACATTTTAAACATCTAAGACAAATTTTTAAATATGAATGATTTGGGGGCAAATTTGACAAGAGATGTGAAACACCAGTACACCAAAAACTATAAAACAATACTAACAGAAAATAAAGAAGACTTAAAGGAACTATATGACATTCATGTGTCAGAGCCCCATTGTTATAATGTCAAACTCTGCAAATTGAGTAATAGCTTCAGTGCAATCTATTCAAAATGGCAGCAAGCTTTTGAGAAGAAACTGACAAGGAAAGAAATAAAACTGTCCCTATATAAAAAGGACAGTTTTATATTCATATGGAAAGGAACAGGACCAAGAATTGCCAAAACAGTTTTGAGGAAAAAATTAAGTTTGCAGCTTAACACTACCTGATCTCAAAACTTATTATATACATGCTACAACAATCAAGAAAGTGTGGTATTGGTGTAAAGATTTAAAAATGTATAAATGAAACAGAACAGGATAGTTCAGAAATAGATCCAGCTAATACAATCACAAAGACAATTCCGTGGGGGGAAAGAATAGCCTTTTCAACAAATAGTGCTTGAATAATTGAATATCTATAATTTAAATTGAATCTTACTCCATTCTTCATACTACATACAAAAAAAAAATTCAAAATGGCTTGCAGTCCTAAATATAAAATGCTGCAGTCCATGGGGTTACAAAGAGTCGGACACAACTTAGCAACCATAACAACAAAAACTATAAAATTCCTAGAATCAAATGTAGGAGAAATCCTTTGAGACCTAGATGGGGCAAAAATTTCTTAGCTAACACCAAAAGCATGAACCACAAAATAATAAAGAGTAAACTGGACCTCTGGTCTTTGAAATTTAAGAGAGTGAAAAAGACAAGCCACAGACTAGGAGAAAGTATTTCCAAATCATACATCTAATAAAGAACCATCAGCTAAAATATATGAAGACCTCTAAGAAGGAAATTATTTAAGACTGAGCAAAAGACTTAAATATGCATTTCACTAAAGACATACTGATGTCAAATAAGCACAAGAAAAGATGCCTAACATCATCACTCATCAGGGAAATGCTAATGCTAATTTAAGAAAGTGAGATAGCATTAATCACTTACTAAAATGACTACAATTTTAAAAACTAATTATTACCAAGTACTTGGAAGGATATAGAGAAATGAACTTTTACACACAGCCAGTGGGAATGTAAAATGCTGCAATCCCTTTGGAAAACAGGCACTTTCTCAGGTTAAATATTCACTGACTATATGGTGCAGCTATTCCATTTTTAATGTTTATCCAAGAGAATAAGTATTGGGCATGTACACATACAACATACAATATCCAAGACATAAGCGTGCAGACATCTGTAGAGGAATGCTCATAGCCTCATCTGTAAAAGCCAAAACCTAAAATTAATCAAATGTCCATCATAGGCAAATGGATAAACTATTCATACAGAAGAATACTAATCAGCAATAGGAAAGAATGAACTCTTGATATACACAGAAAATTACATTAAATTCAAAATAAGTGTGCTGAAAGAAATCAGTAAAGATAATAGTGCATACATTATGATTCTACTTACATCAGACTCTCGAAAATGCAAGTGAATATATAGTTGCAGAAAAGAGGGTTAGTGGTTGCCTGGGGATGAGGCAGAGAGCCAGTCAGGGAAGAGGAATTTCCAAAGGATAAGAAGAAACTTTGGGGGGTGATGAATGTTTTCATTATCTTGATTGTGGTGATGGTTTCACTGGTGTATGCATAAGCCAATGTTATAAAAATAAATGCAATTTATTATTTGTCCATTAAACCTCAAGAAATCTGCTCTTTTAAAAATGCTATAGCCTTAGAATGCCGTATATTATCTTCTTCAAGTTTTTGGACATCATTATAAACCATTTCCCCTGATTCATTTGACATCAGACATTCTGTTCTTCCTCAATTCACTTTCACCTTAGGGCTTTTGAGAATGCTCCTCTTACTGGTATACAGATTTGTCACTACTCTCACCAATTACTGTAGCAAATAAGGCATATTTAGATTACCTCACCAAAATGAAAACACCTTTTTCTTCTAGTGTTCTCATCTTTCTTACTCCCAGCTTACCCACACTTTAAAAGTTTTGTGAAAAATAAATAAATAAAATAAAATAAATAAAAGCTTTGTGATGTATGGAATTTTGGAATGTAATTTCACAAAGATTATTAAACCAGTAAAACTGTTCATTCATTCTATCATTTAGTTGTTCAGCAAGTACTCAAAAAACACCTACTATTTCTCATGTACTCGTCTAGAGTTTGAGCTGTATCATCTTAATACAGCTAAATATTCCTGACCCATCTGTGCTTAAATGATACCAAATTGAATAAACAATAAACAAAATAAGTTACAATATGATAAAAGTACCATTTAAAAAGTGAAATAATCAGGGAAAGTTGGGATTGCTTAGGAGACCGTTGCTGTATCACACATGGAGGTCTGCTAATCTTGAGAGAATTCTGATCTAATCAGTCATCTAAGAACACAGACTCATAACACAGTGTAATTCTACAGTGATAAAATACTATATAATGGGACTTCCCTGGTAGTTCAGTGGTTGAGAATCCACCAGCCAATGCAAGGGACACAGGTTCAATCCCTGGTCTAGGAAGATTCCACATGCCATGGAGCAACTAAGCCTGTGGACCACAAGTACTGAGCCTGTACTCTAGAGCCTACGAGTCACAACTACTAAGCACACATGTCACAACTACTGAAACCCATGCACCCAAGACCCTGTGCTCTGCAACAAGAAGCCACCAGGATGAGAAGCCCACACATCACAACTAGATAGTTGCAACTCAATGCAACTACAGAAAGTCCATGCACAACAATGAAGACCCAGCACAGACAAACAACAACAACAACAACAACGATACAGTGATAATTACAAGTGAATGTTCCCCAAGTCTACCAGAAGAAAGAATAATGAAGATTAGAGAAGAGATAAACAAAACAAATGATAAAAATCGATAGAGAAAATTAGTGAAATGAAGAGTTGGTTCTTCAAAAAGATCAAAAAGATAGTCATTTAACTAGAATGACTAAGAAAAAAGAGTTTGAATAAACAATAAACAAAATAAGTTACAATATGATAAAAGTACCATTTAAAAAGTGAAATAATCAGGGAAAGTTGGGATTGCTTAGGAGACCGCTGCTGTATCACACATGGAGGTCTGCTAATCTTGAGAGAATTCTGATCTAATCAGTCATCTAAGAACACAGACTCATAACACAGTGTAATTCTACAGTGATAAAATACTATATAATGGGACTTCCCTGGTAGTTCAGTGGTTGAGAATCCACCAGCCAATGCAAGGGACACAGGTTCAATCCCTGGTCTAGGAAGATTCCACATGCCATGGAGCAACTAAGCCTGTGGACCACAAGTACTGAGCCTGTACTCTAGAGCCTACGAGTCACAACTACTAAGCACATATGTCACAACTACTGAAACCCATGCACCCAAGACCCTGTGCTCTGCAACAAGAAGCCACCAGGATGAGAAGCCCACACATCACAACTAGATAGTTGCAACTCAATGCAACTACAGAAAGTCCATGCACAACAATGAAGACCCAGCACAGACAAACAACAACAACAACAACAACGATACAGTGATAATTACAAGTGAATGTTCCCCAAGTCTACCAGAAGAAAGAATAATGAAGATTAGAGAAGAGATAAACAAAACAAATGATAAAAATCGATAGAGAAAATTAGTGAAATGAAGAGTTGGTTCTTCAAAAAGATCAAAAAGATAGTCATTTAACTAGAATGACTAAGAAAAAAGAGGAAAGATTCAAATAACTAAAATCAGAAATGAGGGGACATTACAAATGATTTTATAGAACTAAAAAGAGATTGTAGGAGAGAATCACTAATATGAACAACTGTACACTAACAAATAATCTGGATGAAATAGACAGATTCCTACACACTCAAAGCTTACCAATACTAAATTATGAAGAAAATCTGAATAAATTTAAATCCATTAAGGAGTCTGAATAAGTAATCAAAAACCCTGCAACAAATAACCCTGACTACAACTGTTGCTGACACTTTCCTCTACATTAGAAGTCAAGGAAACATGAATATCATACTTCATCCTTGTTAGAGATGAAAGGTTCTGAAACCCAAAGAAAAGCAAGATCTAGACAATCAAGACAGTCTCGAAGATCAACACAGGCTAGAAGATCAACTTAGTATAGACCGATCTTCAGGAAGCTGAAAAAAAAAAACAATATGAGGAAGTCATTATACGCAAATCGTGTGTGTGTGTGCTAAGTTGCTTCAGTCATGGCCGACTCTGCAACCCCATGGATTGTAGTCCAGCAGGTTCCTCTGTCCATGGGATGCTCCAGGTGAGAATACTGGAATGGGTTGGGGCTGCTGCGTGGCGGGAGCTACAGTCCATGGGGTGGCGGCGAAAGAGTCAGAGATGACCTAGTGACCAAACAACAGCAACAAAACAAGCCCTCACCTACATTTCCTGGGCCTCTTAATAAGTACTGTCCTCTTGCTGACATTTGGGCCATCTATTTTAAATTGTCTGCTGTCCTCAGTCTCTAAAAGATTAGAATCTATAAAACTTCAACAGGCGGTCGCTCAGGAATACGAAGAGTCAAGGCTGAAGCCCGTTAACAATATGACATACATATCTCAAGGCAGCACAGACGCCCTGCCCTTCCACACAGAAGACAACAGCCAAACTCAGCAACAGTTACAGAAATCAGACCATCCATCGTCCCTCAGCCCCCCTCAAGCATGAGGAGAAAGTCAAAAGACAGAGAAGGGATTTGCCACCAGTAAAGGCCGCTAGGGTCCCTGGGAAAAATAAAAGGGAATCTAAGCCGTAAGGTCTAACCTCTTCTTTTGTGCTTAATCTAGTTTCACTTACCTGTATAGGACACTCTGCAGAGGCCTTGCACCTAACCCATCACATTACAGCTCCCGGTGCAGAACCGCTATGCTGAACCCCAATTCCGCCTGTGGTGAGCAGAAGCCTGCACAGGCCCTGCAACCCAAGATGGCGGCAGCAGCATACGAACAGGCCTGCACCTGACCCGGGAGAATTGCTCCAGACCCGCGAGAACTCACCTAACCTCCGAGAACATCGCTGGACCGCAGGCCACCCCTCCCACCACTGACAAGAACCCTAGAAAGCAGCACCATTAACCGTCTTTCCTGGAGAACTGTGCTCCACATGTGCCCTGCAATACCAGGTTGCACCTCTCATTCTCTCACCGAAAAATGGAGAGGTGCAACCAGGTGCTTCCTTTACTTCTGAAGTGGACCTTCTTGCTGCTGTCTCGAAAGGACTGGTAACACATCTTCATTAATATTGAACTGCCCTGAAGAGGAAAACGTTCCCCAAGCAGTCTCAAATTTTTCTCTTTAAGTATTACTCAGGCGAGTTAGCTCTTGGTCATCATATTTGTGTGATCAGTATAAATTTGTGTGTGTGTATGTTCCTAGGGATTATCCCACTCGCTCAGTACTAACTTCAACCATTGTTAGCTTCGATTTGCAGGCATTTTAAGGAAGCCTCTAAGACGTATCTCTCATTTTGTAACTTCATACTCAAAGGCCCACAAGGAAAGGCCTTGGACTCAAACTCAAATTCCAGGGTTAAGTCCTTAAATTTCTAGTGAAATATGATCCTGCCAGGAGAATTCTTAAAATAGAGTAAGTCCGCAAGGTTGCCAGCGCACTGCACCTGTGCCTCGTTCTCGCGGAGACCCAGGCGCCGAGGCACGCTGAAATCAGACAGAACTAGCAGGGGACCACACCTCGGGCGCACCTCGCCTCTCGTTGCGCATGTGCGGCACGGCAGCGCGGGCATTCTGGGAGATGTAGTTTGCAGTGGGAGGGAACCTGCTCTAGAGATCCCCGTGCATGGTGGCTTCTTTTGTGCCTGTGTGCCCTCCAGGTCCTGATGATGGTGGTCCCCAGACATGATTGAGTCAAGAGAGGTCAAGCTGCTCATTAGCTGGCCTTCTTCGAGGCTGGAGGTTGAGCTGTGTGGAGAAAGATGGCATGGGTGTGAGGGAGCTGTGGTGAACAATGGGGCTCAGCCAGGCTTTGGGGTAGAGGTGGATCTGTTGCAGGAAGGGGGACCCTTTCCAGAGCCTGAAACTGGGCTCTTGTCTAACACTCGAAAATGAATTGTCCGAGGAGACACATATGCTGACAAAGCGAGAGATTTTATTGAGAAAGGGCACCTGGGTGGAGAGCAGTAATTTAAGGGAACCCAGGAGAACAGCTCTGCCATGTGACTCCGCAGTCTCAGGTTATATAGTGATGGGATTAGTTTCTGGGTTGTCTTTAGCCAATCATTATGACTCAGAGTCCTTCCTGGTGGTGCAAGCCTTGTTTAGCCAAGATGGATGCCAGCGAGGATTCTGGGAGGTGGTCGGAACATATGTTGTCTCCTTTTGACCTTTCTTGAACTCTTCCGGTTGGTGGTGGCTTATTAGTTCAGTGTTCATTCCCAGGACCTCCTGTCGTTAAGCAGCTCATGCAGATGGTTACTATGGTGCCTGGCCAGGGTGGGCGGTTTCAGTCAGTGCACTTCACCTAACAGACCGGCATGTGTCAAAAGCTACCATGACCTTTCCCAGCCCGAGTTCATGAGTCCCAGGTGAGTGGGCTCCTGGGGTTGGACAATATGGGGGCTCTGCAGGTGTGGTGCCCCAGAGAGCAACCTGTGGTGGCCAGGGCATGCAAGTGTTTGACTCTACTTTGAGAAGCGCACTCGGGGATGTGAAAAGAAAATCAAGCTTTACTGAAGGTCTGAAATGTTGCTGGTGGAGTTGTTCAGTGAGTGAGTCCTGTTGGCAAATTTGTGAGTAAGTTAAGCCAAATTTGGCCTTGGAGTATGGAATGAAGCAGGGCAAAGGCTAATAGAGTTTNGCTTAAGACAAGACCACTTCATTTATTTATTTATCTTTGAAAAATAACTTTATTCTAAAGCAGTGGTTTTCTAACTCTAGTGTGCACATGAATCACATGAAGAACTGTCGGGAGCCATTATGGGAGGTCCCGCCCGTGACGAGGTCATGAAGAAAATACCGGGCAGGCAAGGCCGTCCAGGACCCCATCCATGACGAGGTCACGAGGAAAAAACCTGACAGGCAAGGCCATCTAGGATAAGGGACCCTCCAGATTGGCCTCAGCCTCTACCCCACCTTGTATCCTCCCCCATTTTCTGCTGTTGTTCTTGTTTACCCTGCTGCGGATTCTTGTGTTGCCTGCCGAGAGCTCTCCTGCTCCTCTTTCACTGAATGATTACCAACTTAAAACCCTAATTAATAAATCCCCTGGACTCTGGTACCCTATGAAAGGGCCAGGGATGAAAGAAATGCTTCAATTCAAACCCTTTTGCTGGCATTCTGGCTTGTGTGATAAATATGTGCTCTCATTGCAAAAAATGCTCTTGATTGTTCTAAACATCCTAAGCACAGTATGCTAACAAAAGAAACTATTAAGCATAGGCCTCTTCACGGGGTGAGAAAAGCTCTACAAATATGATAGCCACAAATGTGCCTAATAGAAAATAGTTTAGATAGAGATGAGCTGGCGACTTCTTGCAGGTAGTTAACTTTTAGACTAAGAGCCTGTTTTGTGCCATATCTGCTGTTTTTGCAGTCCTTCGCATTTCTGTTCTGTAAAAATGTAATCCTATCTAGTTCCCATAGAGATGACACTTATTAGAAAGAAAATAGATTAATTATAAGAAAAACAGGGTCGGCTACTGAAGTTGCTTAAGTCACACCAGGTGCAAGCCATAAAATGTTAGCAGCCCTGAAGGCCAAATGATAAGAAAGACTCTTGTGAACGAAAAAGTATGTGGGTGACATCCTGTTTCTGTTGAAAGTCAAGTTGCTGTAATGTTTTGAGATGACCTGTGTGTAAGCAATATGCACTTCCCCCAAAAAGATGTTGTTAAGGGTATAAAGGGGCCGTGCAAAAATAAACTTCAGACTTAGCTCCGAGCTTTGTCTCACTGTCTCTCTCTCTCACTTGCCTATGCCATTCATCCTGAGGGTTCCCCTGGATCCTGCTGGGGCTGGACCCTGGCATAGAGCCAGACATCCTGGAATGCAAAGTCAAGTGGGCCTTAGGAAGCATTACTACGAACAAAGCTAGTGGGGAGGATGGAATTCCAGTTGATCTATTTCAAAAGATGATGCTGTAAAAGTGCAGCACTCAATATGCCAGCATATTTGGAAAACTCAGCAGTGGCCACAGGACTGAAAAAGGTCAGTTTTCATTCCAGTCCCTAAGAAAGGCAATGCCAAAGAATGCTCAAACTACTGCACAATTGCATTCACCTCACACCCTAGTAAAGTAATGCTCAAAATTCTCCAAGCCAGTCTTCAACAGTACGTGAACCGTGAACTTTCAGACGTTCAAGCTGGTTTTTAAAAAGGCAGAGGAACCAGAGATCAAACTGCCAACATTCGCTGGATCATTGAAAAAGCAAGAGAGTTCTAGAAAAACATCTATTTCTGCTTTATTGACTATGTCAAAACCTTTGACTGTGTGGATCACCACAAACTGTGGAAAATTCTTCAAGAGATAGGAATACTAGACCACCTGACTTGCCTCTTGAGAAATCTGTGTACAGGTTAGAAAGCAACAGTTAGAACTGGACATGGAATAACAGACTGTTTCCAAATCAGGAAAGGAGTACATCAAGGCTGTATATTGTCACCTTGCTTATTTAACTTATATGCAGAGTACATCATGAGAAACGCTGGGCTGGATGAAGCACAAGCTGGAATCAAGACTGCTGGGAGAAATATCAATAACCTCAGATGTGCAAATAACACCACCCTTATGGCAGAAAGCAAAGAAGAACTAAAGAGCCTCTTGATGAAAGTGAAAGAGGAGAGTGAAAAAGTTAGCTTAAAGCTCAACATTCAGAAAACTAAGATCATGGCATCTGGTCCCATCACTTCATGGGAAATAGATGGAGAAACAGTGGAAACAGAAACAGACTTTATTTTGGGGGGGCTCCAAAATCACTACAGATGGTGATTGCAGCCATGAAATTAAAAGACACTTACTGCTTGGAAGAAAAGTTATGACTAATCTAGACAGTGTACTAAAAAGCAGAGACATTACTTTGCCAACAAAGGTCCATCTAGTCAAGGCCATGGTTTTTCTGGTAGTCATGTATGGATGTGAGAGTTGGACTATAAAGAAAGCTGAGCACCAAGAATTGATGCTTTTGAACTGTGATGTTGGAGAAGACTCTTGAGAGTCCCTTGGACTGCAAGGAGATCCAGCCAGTCCATCCTAAAGGAAATCATCCCTGAATATTCATTGGAAGGATGATGCTGAAGCTGAAACTCCAATGCGTTGGCCACCTGATGTGAAGAACTGACTCATTTGAAAAGTCCCTGATGCTGGGGAAGATTGAAGGCGGGAGGAAAAGAGGACAACAGAGGATGAGATGGTTGGATGGCATCACCAACTCAGTGGATATGAGTTTGAGTAAATTCCGGGAGTTGGTGATGAACAGGGAGGCCTGGTATGCTGCAGTCCATGGGTTCGCAAAGTCAGACATGACTGAGAGACTGAACTGAACTGAAGTCCTGTTAGACTCTGGGACCCCATGGATGCCAAGCTTCCCTGTCCTTCACTATCTCCCAGAGTTTACTCAAACTCTTATCAATGATGAGTCAGTGATGTCATCCAACCATCTCATCCTCTGTCACCACCTTCTTCTCCTGCCCTCTATCTTTCCCAGCATCAGAGTCTTTTCCAATGAGTCGGCCCTCCCCATCCAGTGGCCAGAGTATTGGAGCTTCAGCTTCAGCATCAGTCTTTCCAGTTAATATTCAGGGTTGATTTTAGAATTGACTTGTTTGATCTCCTTGCTGTGGAAGGGACTCCCAAGAGTCTTCTCCAACATCATAATTCTATTCTGTGCTCAGCCTTCTTTATGGTCCAACTCTCATCTGTACATGGCCACTGGAAAACCGTAATTTTGACTAGAGGGATGTTTGTTGGCAACATGATGTCTCTGCTTTTTAATATGCTGTCTAGGTTTGTCA